TGCTTAAAAGACATTTTTTGAGATGATCAAGTCTCAGGTAGTTGGCCAATTTGGCATGTAGGAGAAAACATGGTGATAGGGTTCAGAGCGAAAGCTGTACAACAGGCAGGTCAAGAGCTCTAACCTTATGACCATGTGAATCTGCCCTGTCAGCTGCTGTCTGTGTCACAAGTGTATCTGAAGAATGATGGCACTCAGAGAGTTCAGGCAGAGTGTGTTGGAGGCCTCCAGTCTGGTTCACTTGAAATGATTGTTGTCATTTGGGTTTTAAGTTCTTCTTTTTCATCTAATGTCAAAAGGAGTGGTATTGTATTTTTTTTCTTTTAAAATTTAGAATCTCTTGTTGTCTTCTTTTCTATACCCACCTGATTTGGAACAGCCGAGTGTGGGCTTCCTTCATGTCTCCCCTCGCAGCTGTGAACCCTGTGACCGCACACGGGGGGACAGTGAGGACGTTTCTCTGACCCGCCCTCATTGCGGCCTGTCACGTTTTAACCCATTGGAGCAAATACTCAAGGTTCAGTGCTGGTTGGAAGACAGACAGCGCACATGAAAGCTCTGCAAGCCTGCAAGTGCCCAGGAGGCCATGGGTGTTACTATGCTGCTGAGAGCCAAAAGAGTCCTAGCCAACTGTTACCAGCTTCCCTCGGCGGCGCTCAGCCAATAGCACGCCGCCACTTGGGGGTCACAGTCAGCTAGGTTGTGCTCTTGTTTCTAGCCTGGAAGACACTTTTTGATACAGGCTCATAAAGCACATAGCACATGCAACAGGATAATGAGCCTGTGCTCAGGTTAACCAGTTGCGCCCTTTATATGGTATTTTAAATTCAGAATGATGAAAGTTTTGAATGAGAAAAAGCTTTTTTTCTGATTAGTTCAACTGTGAGGTAAGATTAAATCGAGTGCATTTAAAAATCGTTTTATGCACATATAGTACACAGCACCTATAGAACGTCTACACACCCTTTCCAAAATGAAACAAATTGTGACCTAACAGTCTGAAATCGAGAAGCATTAAATCAGCATTGTACCACAAAACTTCCATGTGAAAATCCAAATTTCAAATATTCTGCAAAGTAGTTACTTTTATTCTCCAAATAAGCCATTTATAATTGCACTTAATTAAAGTATTTTCTCTTTATCAGCTGATATTTAAGGTTCAACAGACATCTGTTGTATGTCATGGAGGAAAGCCTCATGTAAATATCATTTGAATAGCTAAGAACTTTAAAATTTCTTAAAGTATTGCCACACATGCAGTAGGCCTGTTTGTGGTGTCATCCATATATTGTCCTCCTGGCCTCAATTCTCACCTCTCCAGGGCATGGTGACCCCTGCAGGCCAGAAGTAGATTGACTGTCCTGATCCCTGCAGACCAGCATGTTTCAGTTGCTTGGCAACCAGTTGTGCTTCTTCCTTAAGGAACACAATTCAACCAGAAGACAGTCATGGTTCACATCAGGGGTGCCATGATAAAGCAAACCTTCACTCCCAAAAAGGGGTTAAATATATCGCACAACATTAAAATACAGATGTTCAAAAGCCATGCCACTAAATGTAATTAATGAGCCAGTACTGGTGTTTGGAACACATACCCGAATCAACGCTGCTTTTTTTTTTCTGTGATTGCCCCTGTCACACTTCCATTGTGTGCTGCTCAACATTTTGTTGATATTGGATAGTAATGTAAAGGAGTGTGAGGAGCAGCACAAAGCAGGTTGAAAAGTTTGAGGTGTGGCCAAGCAGCAATACAGACCCTGTTGCTTTGACAACATGTTCTCACAGGTTTGTGAATATTAATAGGTTATCAAGAATATTCACTTTCTTCTTTCGCCCTTGTCTGGCTGGCAGTTATCTGAGGCTTATGAATATTGATATATGAAGTGTATATTAATGACCCACCGTGACCTTAACCCTATCCTTATTGCCTCCCTGGTGGTAACCGCAGGCTCATGAATATTTATTAAGCTCTGTAACCTCCATTACCCTAATCTTTGCTGTCTAGCCTCCCAGAAGGGCCCGTTGCCATGGTTACCCCTTTACTAAACTCTTTTCAAACCATGGGAAAAATATGGTTAATAAAAGAGTTTGATAATCAAGTTGTTCTACTGTACTAGAACTAGTTCCTTTTTTTTGTAATTGCTGCTGCGTCTTGCCAAAGGTATTTACATATATCTGTGCACAAGTATACTGTTTATATTTGGTAGAATTTGCGCCCTCCACGTTTATTTATACCCTCAATGAAATAGGAATGAAAACATCGTGTAACAAAAAGATTTATGGATTACATAATGTGTCCTGCTGAAAAACAAAAAAGTAACACTGTAATCTTAACAGAATTCCACAGAGCAAAGTCATTTTTGTTATAAATTATAGGAAACACTAGTGTCACTTTTATTAACACGCCTGTGGTTAATATTTTGTAAATCCTCCACTGGCAAGGATGTAACTGACAAGACACCTCCTGTAGTGTGCTGTGAGGTTCTAGTATTTCTGAGGGGGGATTTCTGACCATTCCTCCAGGCAGAAGCACTCCAGGTCATTCAGACCCTTGGTTTCTCTTTGAGAACTGCATTCTTAAGTTCAAACCCAGATATTGGATTGGACTGAGTTCTGAAGATTAAAATAGCTGGTTAACAACATTTATTTTGTGCGCAGAGGGAATCAGATGTTTGGAGTTCATGTTCCGAATGAAATTATCAAAGGGCTGTAGGACCTGTATGTGCAAGACAACCCCAAAATATAATAATCACCCAGCATATTTCACAGTGGCCAGGAGCATTTCCTTCACAAGCCTCACCTTTTTAATGATCATACGACAGTGATGGGCACGGCTAATAAACTCCATTTTCATTTAAATTGGACAGTAAGACGTGGTTCCAATTGTCAAGCAGATGTAGTTTGGCAAACTCGCGAGTCGCCTCTTTTTGTAGTTCGCCCTCAGAAGGCTTTTCCTTGCAGCCTGGCCATGCCTGCCGCATGCGGGTTTGAGTCTCTTTTCAGCTCTTTGCATCCTGAAGATGGCAGTTTGTGTTGGCGTTCTCCAGCTGTTACACGTGAGTTTACAGTTACATTGTGAACCACTTGTCACACGGACTGCGTTGGCAAGATACTTGCTGTTTTTCTGGCACGGTTGCCACGATCCCAGGTTGCCAGTAGATTCCACTTTTTGCATATTCTTTTACAGCGATTTGACAGTGCGATATCTTTTGCCTCCGTGAAGCATGTGGCAACTGAAAGTCTCCTGTGTGTTATTTCTTTATATACCCCAGTGAAACGGGAAACGTTTGGAGGTTCCTGAATAGTTCAGAGGCTTACACTGCAATCCTAAAAAGCACAATGTTACCGTAGGTTTGTTTTTCTTGATTTGTTTTTTAAAATAATACTTAGAGGGATCTAATTTGTCCATTTTCAGGAAGAATAATAAAGAATTTGGGTTTAGGAAGTGTTCTGTAAGAAGAGGTGAAAGTAAAATTATAACTTGCTGTCAGATCAAAAAGCCTCTATCCTGCTGTTCTTTAGATTAAGGGTAATAACTAATGTGTCAGAAGTCATTCCTAATTGTTTATACCATACAGTAGGTGGTATGAAACAGACTGTAAAAGCATGAGACACACATGAACATTTGGAATTGTTCTATTATACAAAGGTGTTTATCAAGCTCTTGTATTTTGGAACATTTTCAGTGGTATTTTTTTATGTTTTAACAGCTATAAATGACCATTTAACTATCTGAACATGACTATGACTAACCCAAGTGTTTATCTGTCTTGAATTTTATTTTGAGCTTTGTTACTAGTCAGACAGTCCAGCCTGGCTCTAAATGATCTCTAAAAAAACACATGCAAGTGAACATTGAAGGCCATATCAGAAGTGAGAACATTGAGGACAATTTGGGGTATCTGTATTTTTACTTGTTAAAATTAAATTTATGAATGCAAGAATTGGGCAGAATGGCAGAGAAGGATATGAAATCCATCTCTGGTGGACCAGTAGGTGGCACTCTATACCCTGAACCACAATTTCCAAACAAGGGTCCCAGTATGGCGATGGAGGGGGTGTGTTGTGCTTTAAAAGTGCCATAATTTGGATGAAACACTTTGGTTCTTTGCCTGTTAGTGTAAAGCTTTTTGGAAACCTGACGTGCTATGTGAATGCAATTAATTATTATTAAAACCAGCTGTCAAAGGAGACAGTTGTTTCAGTTTTGCCTTTGTACCTGAACAGTCTTGAGAGATTTGTAAAAACATAACAGCGACTAAGGTGAAGACATCCAATCTGCAAATTTTTATGAGGTCGTTGCCCATATAGTTTTATACTCGTATAACTAAAGACAAGGCATGCAACAGAAATTGAAGACATTAAGAGTGCCTGTCATGACTTTGATTTGAAATAATTGTTCGGCACATTGTGTGAGAGGTGAAAAGTTCTGTAGTTCATGTTAGAAAGCATTTTCAGTAGCCACTTGTCCTTTCTTCAGACTCAACGGTTTTTGACATTTTCAATTGGATGTAAGAAAATGTGAATCGTGAGGGCCTTCCATACTGCTGTTTCAAAATCCTCATTATTGTAGGACACAGTCTTCCTCAGCAAACGAAAAGCCGGGAGTATGACAGTATACCATACAGTATGTTCTGTGTGTGATGTTGTGAATATAATGCTTGTGTATCTCCAGTGAATTCGAAGCTTTAATTCCTGACCTGTTAATAATTGTTACTCACATACCTGGCTTTCTCTGTCAAGAACATTTTCAGCAAAGAGAACTGGCTTTGCCATCATTTCTTGCTTGGGCATAATTCCCTGAAAACAGTTTGACTGGGACATCACAAATAAGCTTTGAGATGGAAGCCCTGCTGTAAATAATTTATTGGAAAGCAGTTTTTCTTTTTCTCACTTCAGGGTTTTTTTGTTTTGCTCGTCACTGCAATGCCTCCCGAAATCCTGTGCATGTTCCCCTGTTGAGGCACCGTTGAACTAATTTTAGTTGTGTTGCCTTGCAGATGTGGACAGAGTTGAGGAGGAAGAAGCCGAAGGAGAGACGGTCCCAGAAGACAGCTGGTTTGGGAATGCTTCAGATACTCGCTCCGAGTCCTCCTATGGGGATGTGCAGGATGAACTTCGGGTGTCTCCTGATGCGCCCCAGCAGGATCAGGAGACCTCCGCCGAGAGCTCCCTGGGCTGCCCCACTCCGGTGCACGGGAACTCTCTGGAGCTCTTGGGGCTGGACAGTGAGTCCTTCAAGACAGGGAGCTACGCTGCCAAGGACGCCCTGTCCTCTGTTGTGTCTTCTCTCTATGGGGACGCCTCTCAGGCCCTTGGAAAGCCGTTGAGCAGCAATCTCAGGCGTCTCCTCGAGGCAGGCTCCCTCAAGCTGGACACAGGTGACCTAGCAGCCAGAGGGAGAGGAGGGGACTCCCCTCCAGTAAACCTGGCCACCAGCTTGGCTCTCTCTCCCTCCTCCCATCATGCCCAGCAGTTAAGTGCCCTTGCCCGGAAACTGGTCAACACCGGCTCCACGGCTGTGTCCCCCGCTTCCACGGCACCTCCGAACATCAAACAAGAGCCATGTGACCCCTTCGCCCCCAGCACGAGCAGCAGCGGCAGCAGTGGCAGCAGCTGTGCCGGCAGCTTTGTCTGGGTGGGTGGACCAGAGAAGTGGCCACCCACCAGCTGCTCGGCCCCCAGCAGCAGCAGCCTCTCCCCGGACTCCGCCATCCAAAAGCTGAAAGCGGCAGCCAATGCCGTGCTCCAGGACAAGAGCGCTGTGGCATCCTCCTCCTCCTCGTCCTCTTCCTCCTCCTCCTCCTCCTCCTCAGCCACAGCTGTGGGGTCCAGAAATGAAGATGCGGTGCGCTTTGATGCCTTTGCCTCTCCTTTCAGCCCGCAGTCGGCTAGCTCCACCCTGGCAGCCCTGTCCAAGAAGGTGAGTGAGAGGGGTCTCTCTGGGGGCCAGACAGAGCACCAGGCCCCTGCCAGTTCCTTCCTCTCGCTGGTCTCCATGACCTCCTCTGCGGCCCTGCTCAAGGAGGTGGCAGCTCGGGCGGCTGGGAGCCTGCTGGCTGACAAGAAGGAGCCACCACTGGTGCCAGGACCACTGGAGGATGTCAAGCCCCTCCTAGACAAGAACCAGAAAATGCCCACATCCTCCCCGAGCCTGGAACTGCTGCTTCCAACCACTCCTAAAGGAAGGACTAAAGCGAGCAGTCAAGGAGGTACTGTATCTTTTAGAAGTAATAATGTACAGTAGAGAAGACTGGGAAGGGTCCTCAGAAAGTCTCTGCCTTGATTATCTCACTTGATTGTTGTCTTACAATTTCTGGTTTGTGATTGTTCCATTCAGGTGCACTTCATGGTGTGCAAGGGAAACGCTTGGTGTGGTGTAAAAAGGGAGTGCAGGCCTAATATTGGGAAACAGCGTGAGGCTTTAGGCTGAGGGAGTCTGTCTTTGAAAGAGGCCCAGTCCGATGAGCTCCATGTGAGGTTGGACGTTTTCTGTGGTGGAGGTTCCAGATAATTTATTAACGATTTATTTATACCAAGTACAGTGTGGTTTTGAAAATGTTGGTCTTTACTTGGTCCTTTGCAATTTATTTCCACAATCTCCTCTCCAGTTAATTGTTTCTATTTTATATGTATAGCACTTTATTATTACACATAAAAATAATACTAATAATAAGGCTTTTAAGTTAATACATTTAGCTAGGTAAATAAATAATATGTTTCTTTATTAGCAAAGCTTTAGTCTTACCTGTTCTTTGTACATCATGAGTGGAAATAACATGTCATGCTTCTTAGTCTCAAAGGTGAAGTTCAAGCCTGTTTCAAAAGTAAATCCTCTTACAGAGATCTTGAATTTTAAATTAATACAATATCCTTGGCAACCACTGCATTAAAGAGACACGGAGCTAAAATTAGTCTCATTCGAATTTTTTTCTCGGCTTCATCAGTGGTGTGTGTCTCTTCTCATCTCAACACCACAGAGCGGCTGTAGAAGAGAGCTCTGAACTGGCTCTGTGGTGTTCCATAGCGCAGCAGCTACAACAGTGCGTTCCACTGTAGAGAATAAACCACAGTGTGGACCACTGTACTGCTCCTCCCAGGTAGTCCTCAGGGTGACAAGCCTGCTTGTGAAACAGCTATACTCAAGAGTGCAGTACAGCAGGAGCTCTAAAACTGAAGGGCAGCACAGCAATCCGGCTCGAAAGTCTGCCTGGCTCTTGACATGAACATTGTACCAAAAGCCATTTGATTCACTGTTAGGCTGTGACTTTCACCACCTGTAGCCAAGTCAATTCAAGCCAGGTGCCCTAAGTGATCGGTACCTGGCGGACGCCTACCATCAGCTGGAACATGAGCGTGCAAGGGAAATGGTGAGACTGGAAAGACACATTGCTCACAGGCCTCGGTGATGCTCCTCCATAAACTCTGCCAAGCAGAGATGTTTCTCGGCTTGTCCTTGAGTGGGTTAAGGCTAGGCCAATGTGGTGAACCAGTGTGTGTTGCCGATCCTAGAATGTCACAGGAAGTCTTGAATGGCTCTTGCCTTGGACCAGCAGTATTGCACTGAAAGACTCTAGGATTATATATATATAACATATAAAAATAAATTGCTGTTTCTTTAATGACATTTGGAGCTCAGCTACCAATAGCTTTTTATGATGTGCTCAAAGAATCCTGTAGACAAGAAGTCAGTTTCTAAAGTTGGCTTTAATGGCCCACTCTCAGTTCTCATATTCTAAAAGATTTCATTACTGAGCTTGATTTATTGAAAAGATCCAGAATAGAATCTTTTTTGAATGAGTTATGTGCAGTACTATTTTCAATTCATTTAAACTCCCTGTTGCTTTGGTGTTTTTAAATGCATTTCTGAATGCTTAGCTTCTTCTATGACTATAGATCATTCTGATAATTCGACCTGACCCTTGTTACTTTCCTTTTTTGCTGTGTCAGTTCTTTTAATGCTCCTGTAGAAACGTATTCTATTGAGTTGACTTACATGTTGGTTAATGTAACCCTTATTTCAGTGCCTTTGAAATTAGAAAAATAGATTACCATTAAATTCCAGTGGCTTTTATAGTGTCTGTTTCTGTCTTTCTCCACAGCATCTCCTGAGGATGGGGGAAAGCCCTTTCAGTGCCCGGTGTGTGGCTTGGTCATTAAGAGGAAAAGCTACTGGAAGAGACACATGGTGATTCACACAGGCCTGAAGAGTCACCAGTGCCCCCTCTGCCCCTTCCGATGTGCTCGCAAAGACAATCTCAAATCGCACATGAAGGTAGGGCGGGCTGACCTGTTCACAGCACCCGTACTTCAAATAAGGTTCTGCAGAGTCTACTGTACTTCCTTGTCGTGCACTCAGAGTCATTTTAGTAAAGAGATCCTAACAATTTTTTATTTTAAATCACAAGGATATAAAAATGGGTACAAAAGAGAGGAGGCCTTTCGTCCTGTCTAGCCTAGCTGGTCATCAGTAGCTGATTAATCCAGGATCTCATTCAGGCGTTTCTTTAAAGAAACCAGGGTCTCGGCTTCAAGTACATGGCTTGGGTGGGTTGTTCCAGACTCCCACAATCCTTTGGGCTTCTTGTTCTCAGTTTTAAATATATTTCCACATAGTTTCCCTTTGAGCCCTCTGGTTGGTGTGTTACTGTGTCATATGACATAGGCGTCATAGATCATAGGTCAAATCAAAGGTGCCTATACAGCACATACAGGTACAACCTGGAACTCTGTTTTAAACCACTTGTATGCCACAACTTTTAAATATATACTGTATTTTTCGAGATTGGGAACACTTTAGGTTCTAAATTGAAGGATGACATTTCTGTCATGGCAGTTTTGTCACGTACTTTGGGTGAATTCATGTATGGATCTCGTAATGTAGATAGCGCGGGCAGGTGACTCTCCTGACCTTCAGTGACATGGCGCAGCAGGAACTCTTTCAAGGGGAGATGTGTGCTCACTGAACTGGGTCAATGCTGTGCCCTTGTGCAGGTCCACCAGCACCAGGACCGAGGGGAGACCTTCCAGTGCGAGCTCTGTCCCTTCACCTCCTCCCGGCACTTCAGCCTCAAGCTGCACATGCGCTGCCACCAGCACTTTCCTCGCACGGAGGTCAAGGTCAAGGAGGAGGTCACCACCGACACGGAGGGAGAAGGCTCTGTGCTGGGCGACGCCGCCGCTCTGGGGGACCTGAAGGGCGCAGGCCAGAACTCCCCCCAGCCGCAGGACGCCAGGCTGGGGGCATCTCCTGCCGAGCCCCCCAATCACATGCACATCAAGGAGGAGCCCCAGGAGAGGGACGTGTCCACGCTGTCGCCGTTCTCCCTCTGCAGGGAGCAGACAGCCGCCAGCGCCAAGCCTCTGGACCAGCCAGGGCTGAAACCCAGCCTCCCCTCTCCCGCCTCTCTCTTCAGCCCCGACATCACCACCAAGACAGCCACCGACTTCCTCATAAAGCTCTCAGGTAGGCTGTGCATTACTTTCGCACCTGGAGAGATGAGAATGCGCAAACTAACCACCCAAAATACATAACGAAAGGATATACAGGCCAATCCCGGTATACATATAAAGTCCCGACATGTAGCAAAATTATTTTTCCCCATACGAACAAATTAAATGTGGAGGTTCGGGACCCTAAGTTTATAAATTTAAGAACAAAGCTTTTCCCATAAGAGTCAAGACGAGAATAGAGTTGAGTTAAGAGATCATAAGGTACAGTAGATGGATGGTGTGTCTCACGTGAAGCTAAGCAAACACAGTACGGAGGGTCCCATTATAAGTCCAGGTTAAATTCCTAAATAGTACAATTTACAGTAAAATTACTTGATAAAGTGAAATTAATATGTAATTAGCCTGAGTTGCGCTCCCAACATACAGTTCAATAATGGATATATACAGTTAATGTACCTAGAGCCCATAAAAACAACAAATTGTTGTTCGCTGTTTCATGTTAGACTTTTGTTCTACACACTACATGCATTTACCATCACACTTTAATCCACTCTAATCCAATGAGAGACAAATTGCACGGTGGTGGTAAGAAGTCAACTTTAAAAATGGGGCATAGCGATTCATAATCTTAAATTATGTGTAACGGCACTGTCTACAAGAACAACAATGTTTAATTACGATACTGGCTTATTGTGCCTTGAGAAACGACATATGTTTAGGGAATCTTAATGTCGAGTTTCTTAATCGATTAAGTGCAACAAAGCATATACAACTTTAAAGTATTGTAACGGGGACCATCTGTACCAAAGACAGCACTGAGTTACACTTGATTAGCATTGCTGGAAAATGCGCTTTGGGATTTGTATTAAAGCAAAGAAGCTCTGGAGTGCAATTTGTTAAAGATGAACGGTGCGTTTGTAATTGAATGCAAAAATAAAAATGGGTAAAAACGGAGGGCCTTTGCTTTTTATCTGCAATGTTGAGATGAAACATCAGGATCATTCTGTCATGTAGTTGAACATTAGGTTAATTAGAAATTCCTATATAATTCAAAATTAAAAAATGAATGTGAAATTAGGAAAGTCTTCTGGACCCTCATTTGACCCTGTCTTGGGACCCTCTGACTCCAAATCTCTCTGTATACAGTGTTTTGAGATGCTTTAATTCAGCTCCTCCTGGTGCAATAATTCAGTTCCTCTTCCAGTCTCCTAATCAAATATAAATTACTCTCAGGACTTGCCTTCAGGGGGTGAATTCTAAAAATGTCACTAAGCCTTAAAGAAATCAGAGCAAGAAAGTAAATGTTTTGATCCTGGAGAATTGTTTATGTCTAAACACTTATTGATTCAGTTTAATATACATGCATTTCACACGTTTAAGATATGCAATGTGGTATCTCAGCGTAGCTGAGAGCAGTGTGTTCTAGCTATGTTATGAAAGGTGGGCGTGTGTGTTACGTTTCCAAGGTGCAAAGAATAGAATAGCATGTTCGTTTTTTGCAGAGAAATTTATAATTTTGAGAAATTATGAATGTGGGAAAAATAACTAGTGAATAAAAGATGGTCTCCTCGTCGGGCCTGAGGGGTGAGTCCACAGTGATGAAGGAGATAAGGACACTGCCTCCAGTCAAACGGCCTCCTCATATTTACCACTCAGTTTTGACCTGGAGCTGAGCTGACACCCTTAAGGTTGAAAAGCGGGTTGGGGGAGGGGAGGGAAGCATCACATGGAGACATGTTAGTGAGCAGTATGGTTCCTGTCCACATTCATGCCAACAAAGATAGAGCTGGGCAAGTAAGTGACATCTCATTTCTCTGGCTGTTAGTGTGTTAGTTCATTAAGGAGGGAAAGAGGATGTGTGAGTGTGGGTTTGGTGATAAATGGTCCTTGTGTCCACTGCTGTTTTACTTCCAGCCACGTTTGACTTGAACTGAGATGCAGTTTTGATTGTTTTGAACTTCCTGAGGTGAAACAGGAGGATGGACTTTACAAGATCTTTGACATAATTGGAATTCCAAGCTTGGGTTCCCATGGTTGTTTCTGTTTGAGTAAACATTTCCCACTCTGCTACTTTGACTCTACTACCATGCATAAAACATTAAGATGAAGGGCACTAGTGAAACACAAACTAGAGGAAACAAATGGACACTATGTGGACGTGCATTTAAAAACTGACAACAGGAGGCATTTATTTTCCCTAAGGGTTGTGAGAGACGTAAATGGTGGCAAACAACATTTCAAAGATTAAAAAGTTACATTCACAAGTCTGAAATTTAAGAATCAGATTAAGGAGAGCAAGGCAGCATAAGGTATTGTCAGAGTTTAGGAGTATAAATGTTTTTTTAACATCTAAGCATCTAAGCAGACGGTTCTTGATCAGAGTCAGCTTTCAAATGATCATAAAAGTAGGTGTCATCAGCATTGAAATGAAAATAGAAATCATACCTACAAATAATCAGTAGTCAAATAAACTTATTGGAATGGGACCATGAACACAGCCCTGTGGGACACCAGGTTGTCCAGTTTTGTCAAGAGGTAAAGAATACACAATTTAGCAAATTATTTTATATCATTAGATGAGATTTAAACCATGACAAAGTGTGTTCATGGTATCCACTAATACCGGCAACCCTTTTAACCAAAAAGGTATGATCAACCGTTCTTAAGTCAGCACTGACGTTCCTCAGGAAAAAAATAGAAAAAAACCAGACATAAGCCACAGGTAAATCATTAGAAATCCTAACAAAAGCTATTTCTGTCCTGTGCATCTGTCTGAACCCAGGCTGAAATGGCTGACAGGGCGTATTTGTAGCTAAGTGAGCTTGCAACTGAATAGAAGCAGGCTGCTTTAGAATCCGTGCTAAAAATGTTAAGTTAGATATCGTGTGGTAATTATAGTCAGCTGTAAATGAGTAGGCTCAAGTCTTATTTTGTTTTTTTAGTACTTGGTTAATATCTGTATGTTTATGGGCTGAGGAAAATTCCTGATCTTAATGATCCCTTGAATATGTTTGAAAATCAAACAGAGGACTACAAAATGTTACCAGAGCAAGCTGATGCTCTTCCTGTTATCATTCCAATTCCCCTTGGCATTGATCGGAGCAGAGCAGGAACAATGGGAACTGGATCCAAGGAGCATGTGTTGGGTTTTCTTTAAGTGATCATTTCAGTCAGCTTCCAAAGAGAGACTGCATGAAACTCTGTGAAGTGAGATGCACTAAACGTAAAAGTATGTAAACCTTTCTTAAAAGTGAAATCACAACATACAATTTGTCTTGTGATGTTGTCAGCTTCAAATGTAAAAAAACTCAGACAGTGGATTGCAGTTTCAACTGTTCTGAGCTGGAATGAAGAGACAGTGATTTGGGGAAAAAAGTTAACGTCTTTGCCAAGTACATTACTCTATTCAAGAAGATGGATCCTTGCTGTTGGCTTTCATACGTTTGTGTATATATATTCAAACATATAGGAAATATAAAAAACATTCAGTAGGGATGTGTTTTTTTAGGATTAAAATTGGGAGTCATCATTGTACTTTTAAACTTTTCTGTGTTAAAGAACAGTGATGAAGAAATGTATTATACTGCACACAGTGTAGCCTCTGCACGCCACCCTAAAACTGCTCATGGAAACTGACGTTCACTTTCACTGCGTAGGCAGTCTTTGGTGTCCGAGGTGGAAAGGTACTGATGTTATTCCAGCTCAGAGAGTAGAGTAAGGGGTTGAGACAAGTAGACAAGATGGATAAGGAAGAAAAAGGCAGTAGCCATATCTGGCCTGCGTTCTTACCACAGTGAGCAGGACTCTGACCAGGCCTCTCGGAAAGAGGCCTGGAGGTTGGAGTGAGCAAGACAGGTTGCTACAGAGCTTAAGTGATGCCTTCTGTGTCTATGGCTGAGCTGTTTTGGGTGTTTTGATTTGTAAAGGTGTTTTCAATGTTAGAAATGTGATATAAGTAAAACAAATCCAAAGATATTCCTTTAAATGGCCCTTCTTTGACTGAGACAATATCACAAGCTCTTTAAGCTTTACTAGAATAAAGGGCTGAAAACCAGAAATTCCATTGATAGCTGTTTTGAATGTATTCCACATCTCTTACTGTAACTGAGGGACACAGAAAGATCGTCTACTGCAAATTTGGCCCAGATTGCACTGAGAATTTTTGCACATTTACATTCAAGACCTGTTTGGCTCCATTGAGGCTGTTTTTTTTATATTTTGGAAAGTCTGGTATACTCATTACTACATGTTCAAAACTGCAACGTAATCATATGGATGCCCCCAAAAAACATTATCTTACAATGGAAAACAGTAATGCAGATGACGGTACATGTACAGTATAGTGTTTTTTTTAGAACAGCAGAATAAAGAGTATTTTATCAGAGTTAACAGTTCCACACCTTTTCCAAGAGGCAGCATTGATTCAAACAGTAGCTTAGCATCTCAAATTAAAGACAAAAATGTCCCACTTTCTGATCCAACAAGGCAGTGTGTGATCTTAATTAGGCAAACAGCTTGCAGCTAACAGACAGGTTGTGCTTAGCTTCTGACACCTGAGAAGACAACATTTCAAGCTGGTCCAAAATCAGAGCTAAACCAATGCTAAACCAATGCACAAGTCTTCAGGCCTTTCCCACAGCACCTCCTCTGCCTCTGCGGCCCTCTACTGACTCCCAGTTGCAGGACTTGCCCACCTCTCTTGCTGTGGTCTGGTCCAATTAAAAGTGCTCTGACTAATGCACATCACCATTAATCAGCACAAGGTGGCTTTGCAGATTGATGACATGGTTGCTTAGTTCTGGGCAGCGGAGTCTGTCAGAAGGAGTAGGAGGTTAGGGCAGCACGGATCCTGGCTGCAGTTCCCTCAACTGGAACATCATTCAGCCACAAAGTGATAACCTCTGGTGTCTGCCGCGCACAACTATTAAATATGTGCTGCAGAGAGGCAGTGGCAGATTTTGTTCATGCCTTGGCAGCGATCGTAAGTTTTTATGTGTTTAATTATTTATTCTTCACATAAACTCTTTGAAATATGACCCATTTTCACAAATCATCTAGGGAGGGCAGCGCCATTTCAAGAGGCACATGCATTCGGCATTCACCTTTACACTTTTAACCACATTTAGTCTATCCTCGGCGTAGAATCCATTGTGTGGTGCGAGCATTTTTTTCTGTGGAGTGGCAACTTTTAATGCCAATCTTTATTAGAATAAATGTAATTAAAGTTACCCAAGTGCTCTGTTGGAAAAGGCACTGACTGCCTAGTGCAGAAGAGCAGCTCATTCAGGGGTTAACCTGAGCTGCTCCGAAGACCCAGGTTAATTTAATCTGGTTCAGCTGTGGGCGCTGTAGGCGGACAAGGGCAAGCTAAGTGTTTGCATCTCTCCAGCAGTCTGTTTCATCGATTGCTCAAGGTTGTAGTAAGAAAGTCCTGGCTCGCCACTAAACTCTCTGAAGTTGTTATGTAAACCCAGCCTCTGGACAAGGGGGCAAAGCTTGGGCTGGATCCATGAGTCAGTGCCAGACCTGTTTAGGCATAGAGCTTCTCACGGGGTAATTTTGTTGCACCTAAACAGTCAACTCAGGAGGGTAATGTCACAACAAGAAATATGGAATTGATCTCAAGGGGTCTGGCTGTAATGACCTGATTCTTTTTCATTCACAAGGTCAGGGCCAGCTGTGCTGGATTGAATTGATACAGGCATTCCTTTTCATTCTTTCTTTACATGGCTTCATCAGAGCTTTTGTGCAAGCTATAAAATTAAGTAAAGAAAATTCTATTTGCTTAGAAATTAACAGAAGTTATTTCTTTGCTGGTTTATTAGAAAAACATAACCGACACACCTGGGCATGTCGAGAATCAGGCAGGTTTCAGTCAGAACAGATAGCTATTTGCAGTGTAAAAACAAAACAAAACGGTTTAGCTGCCGGCTGGGAAGCAGGTACAGCAACATCACAGAAACAGACCAGAGGGGAGAGAGCACGGCTCCTCTCTGCTAGCTAAAGGCCAGGAGACTGCAGCTAGAGCAGTCAGTTCCTCCAGGGAATCCCCATCTAGCTCTTTTGGCTGCCATCTTGGCAGGGGGAATGAGGACAGGGGGACTCTTTTTCCCAGAACCCTTGTGCAGAGGCGAGACCACTACTCCGGGATTGTTAGTTACTATGGGAGGTTGTCACGAGTGGGGAAAAAATTGAATGCTAAGTTCCTGAAATCTCAATATGGGATTTGTTTTTTTCAAATCCAATGAAGCAGTAATATTTTTTCAACTTTCTTGTTCTTTTACAAAAATACAGAGAATGGGGGACTGACACAAACCATAAAGAGGGGTGATTTCAACTGGTGATAGAAAAAACAACTTTGCACCAGCATATTGCAGCTTAACCACAATTCTCTCCCCAAGAGCAATTGGGAGTGAATACAACCAAGAGGAAAAACAAGGGCATCACAGTTTCCACCCATAGAGAGATTTGTTTTAGCTGCCGTTAGCTCTGCCAGCAGTCGGTGTTATACCTGAAGATTGATAGCAGTCTGGGAGCTATGTCATTGAGGAGCAGTCGGGGCCTTGGTGGCACAATGCTATCTGAGAACATACGGTAACATGTTTCCAGGAGCACAAAATGTGTTCCAATGTATCCCCTGAGGGCATCTGTGACAGAGAGGGCTGCCATTTTTCTTTGCACCTATAAGAGGTGGTACATTATTTTCCTGAGAGTCGATGATAAAAAATAAAACAGGATGTATCAGTCAGTACTATATATCCGTTCGTGTTCTCACTGTTTTATCCAGTACGGGGCCAAGGAGGAGCTGGAGCCTACAACGGGAAAGTAACGGTTCATAAAGAATCCATGCAGATAGCACACCAGGTCCGGAATTGAACCCAGGCCCCAGTGCTGAGAGACAGCAGTGCTAACCGCTGTGCTGCTATACTGCCCTAGTGCTATATTATATCCACGGGGAATTTTGTTTCATATTATCGTTACAGTTGAAAGTGTGTATGACGTGTTTCAGATGATAGGCTTTATGGAATGGTGTCATGGGGTACTCCTCACGTTAGGTTTGAATATCATAAAAACCCTCCGGACATCATCTGGAAGTCATTTCTTGTGTAAGAGTATAAGCTTTGATTTGGTAAGATTTCATTCATCAACATACTTTGACAGCTTCTGCTGGCTGAAAGGCAGCTGAAATGGAAATCCATTTGTCTTTTTCAAAAGGTGTTTTACATTTTTTTTTATCTTATCAAGGGGCTTGTAACAGGATGTAATAGGCTCTGTAGGATAACATATCATTATCTTACAGAGCCTCTTATCCTATAATAAACATAATATTATTGTCCTCCAAGGGAAAATGCCCACCAGTAATAAACAGTGCACAGAGTGTGGTCTTATAGCTTTACGTTAAAGCTCACTTATGGGTGTAGGTTCTGTGGTGAGCTGAAGACTTACATAGGCCTATGGTAAAATTCTGATCCCTGAACCCCTGGGTTGTGTTTCGATTTGAAAACAGTCATGTCAGTGTTCTGTTTGGCTCATCCGTGGCACAGCAGACGCTAGAGAAAGCCACTCCAAAATCGCATTCCAGTAAACCGTGGACACAAGCCATCTGGCTGCGCCTTGCCCAGGCACCAGCACGGACAGAATTTCCCATTGATTCTCAGGGATGTCTGGAAGCATTTCTGAGCGCATGGAAGAACCTGAGTCAAACCTTGATGAACTGGCCTGACACCCAGAGGGGAGCTCCCACACCATCTGTGTTGGCCCTGGAGTTACAGAGCAGAGCGTTTGCCCACAAGGAAAACAATGCTGCTTTGTGAATTTTCGTTGGAATTGTAGGCTCAATGTCATTCCAGGTTCTGACATAAGTAAAGAACTACTAATTGGTGTGTTTGTGAATAATGCTGTGTGAGGTATGCAAGCAGTGTGGCATCGTCAAGGTTTTCCTGGAGAAGTGAGCTCAGCCTCTCCGGGAGAGAGCCAGACGTGTACTCGGGAGGCCTGACGAAAGCCAACATCTGAAGAACGCTCTTGTCAGTTTGTCACTAAACAATTATAGATAGTATTCTCAGAAAACATTCAAGCCAGGAGCATAAGGTTTTGCCTTTTGTTTAAATGAATATAGTATGTAGAAATAAGAGTCATTAAGTCATTCTTTTGTCATCTGCTCAGGGTGGGAGTGCTGTTTAGTCACGTGAGTGTTCTGTATGTAATCTGACTGTGGTTTAAATTCCAGGCCACCAGGGGCAAAAGCAGTGACATACAGTAAGTTTGGATGAATGTCTTTAGAAGCTTCGCTCTGGCATCACTGCATTGCCATACACTTTAACATGTGCATTCAAAGAATTTCTAATTCTATTTCTCTCTGTTCCCCCCCTTCAGCCGCAACTCAGAAGGAGATGATGAAGCCCCAGTTCTCCGTGAAGGAGGAACCCCAGGCAGCGGAGCCCCAGAGCCCACGGCTGCCGCAGACCCAGCCCAGCTACGTGTTCTGCCAGGACGGGCCTGCGGGGACGGCGGAGCGAGCCCTGAAGAGCAGCGAGGGCAGCCCTCTGGCCAAGAGCAGCCTACTCAGCCAGGACATCAACGTGAAGGTGGCGTCGGAGCTGCTGATGAAGCTATCAGGTACCGCTTCCCTGCAGGGCCCCAGCATCTGCGAGCTGGGTTTTCATACCACGCTGCCCAATCTCCCCAGTGATTCTGTTACTGACATACAGACAGAAGCTCTGTACACAAGAAAGACCTTGTCTGATTATTTCCCTAATGCTGACTTGCAGTAAATAGCCCTGATATATTGTTTTTATCTGTACTGTCCAACCTGACAAGTAACATACTCAGATTTCAAAAACTGTTTTTGAATTTGTTATGAAATTCCTGATGAAAATGCACCTTTTACCTGTCCGTTTTGCTTCACGTAATAAGGACAGTAAAATGCACAAATCATTCACCACGTTTGAAGCAAAGAACCCATCATTTTCATTAAAAACTGCTTGTGGATAAGCAGACATATTGGGATCCCGTGGGCAGATGCAGAGGGGGAAAGCACTGCATCCAGTCTTTCTGATGGAATTGAAAAGCAGGTTAGTGTTGCCTTGCCTGAGTCCATCCTTGTTTGCAATGAATGGTACAAGAAGTGTTTTACACATGTGCAGTTTGGCAGACTGCCTGCAGGTCAGATTTCACAGTGTGTTAGAGAAAGAGAGTGAGCATTGGTGTCTGACTACTGATACAGTGTGTCATGTGCATTTTTTTACCTCTGGGATATTTTTAACCAGCTTTTAAAGCAACAAAGCCTTGGGCTGAATTAATTAGCCCGTTTATTGTCATGTAAGAGAACACATTATATGACAGCAAGCTTTGCGATTCTTATGGTTGGTTTGGAGATCAACCAAAGCAATGTACAGAGACACTTAGGTGTGATAAGTGTGATTGTCTGGCATACAATTGCCATGGAAACTTGCATCTTAAAAATGAAACAGGAATCCGCTGACTTGTCTTGATATACGGTACATTCTGCCTTAAGACCCTGATCACTCACATGGTCAAAATATCTGGATGGCAGAGGCTGTTTAATTTGTGCAGCATTTAAAGTTGTAGAGAAGATCAATGCAGAAATACTGTAGTTAGGAGAATGTTTCTGTTTAATTGTATAGTCTTTATGGTGTTACTGTGAACTACAGCTTCATATCCATCATGAAGACCCTGGTTACGTAATGGTTTAGTTTTTTTAAGTAGTGCCCTTTTAGAGACAGAGTTTTTTAGTTTTCTAATGGTGTTAACGTAGAAACTGATCAGCTTTTCATTTGTGCACTGCTCAAAACATGCGCATTGTCTTGCAGAATTATTGCAACATCTAAAATACAAGGTATTTTTTGTGTAGGTGTTCTTAGGTAGAGGAAAAACTATAACACAACTTTGACATATGTATCGGAAGAAGCTTCTATGAAATGATCATATTGATCCATGTAATCGTGACCGTACAAGCTCGTACTGCATTTATAAGGTTTTGAAGATTGAGACATAAAGAGTCACCATGATGCATATTTTATTTTTTGGGGAAGACAGAGACAGGATGGCAAGGTTGTCATCAGGGGAACAAGATGGATTTGTAAGTGTGCTAAGAACCAGATGTTGCTAAATAAGGTGGAGGAAGATTATTTTTTGAACTGACGACTAGTACAAGACTGTAAGAACATCAGTAACAGACATATTGGATTTGCCAACCCTTGACCCATGGGATGGAGAGTTATTGTGGGGAAGTACATGCTATTCCTGTGAGAATATATAAAAGGACATGGACAGGTCTGTATCAGTTTCGTATCATGTTTTGACTTGGATTGTGGAACAGTTTTTACCAAATTCTGAACATCTTCCAGAATGAAGCAGTACAAGTTTGTGTCTTTGTCCGCAGGGTTAGTTTCTGTGTCCACGGGGTTAGAGTTAGGGTTAGTGTCTGTCTCTTCAGGGTTGGGGTTAGCGTCTGTGTCCGGAGCGTGGGGGTTAG